GAGCAGTGGCAGTAAAGGCAGAGCTGCGGGACTCCGGGCTGTTGGATTTGTCAACAGGTAAAGGGAATATCAAACAAGACAAGACGTAAAATGGGAAGGGGGAAAAGGGAAACTGAGTATTTTTCTTGGTTAGGAAAGATCTCGCACGTTCACATCCATGCATATTTTCCACGCATGCTCTGGAATACTGTACTCGGTGGTATAACGATTCTGTTTCCTGGCGTGCGACATGGGATGCATGCGTCAGACACCCTATTTTTATCTTTTTCTCTGTGTAACACAGTCCGAAGTTCTTCTCTTAATAACTCACCAGCTGAGTACGGGTGACAAAGGCTGCTCTCGGCTCCGGCATTCATAATAAAGGATGTGCCTTTCCTACCAAGCATGCTTTGCTTGGCAATGCATAGATCCAAGTGGAAAGAGCTGTACTTTCCCCTACTGTGAAAGTGTAAAAGGACTTAGCTGCAAATAAGGATCAGGTGCATGATGTTTTGGAATGAGTTTTCCTTCCCAAATAAAGGTGAGGATACAGCAGTCACCCAGTTTAGTACAAAGGAAAAATGCAGGCAAAACATAAGCATGCAGGTAAGACCTCTGTGGTCAATGCTTTTGGTTTTGAAATGAAAGTAGGTCATATTCTCTTGTTCTGACCAACCACTGACTACTCTGCTCTTTTCCCTTTTGAGATACGCTGTTAAAAATATTTGAATTGGTCTCAAATGATATTTGCATTTATATTGTCTGAAGCTGCTAAGATCAAAATCAGACTTAATTGTCAGCCTCTTTTACACTCGTCTAATTCTATCAAGAGCGATGCAGTCACTGGTAATTAACACCAGAACAGGACCGATCACAGTCAAGCTCTTTGTCACCTTACATCATCTTACGCAAGAACAAGGGAAAGGCCGCACCGGCTGGGCGACTGCTCCACCACACCAAGCTTTCCCTGGGATTCCTACACCTCTCTGTCACTGCTTTCACAACGCCCTCTCCCACCAACACATCTTGATTCTCACCAGTAGATCGCCGTTCATCTTGGCGCAGGGTGCCAAAGCAAATCCCAGCCTTTCCCTGGGCACACGCGCTGTGCGCCATGCATTGGGGCTGACTGTTTTCGTGCATCCAGGCGCCGCGGTGCTGAACACCAGGCGCTTTCCTCCGGCGGCCAGCAAAGTGCGAGGGAAACAGTGCTGTTTCACCCCTTGCAGCCAACATCAGACTGCGAGGTACTATCTGATTCAGTCCTACAGCGATGATAACCTGAGGTTTATCACATACTCAGCCTGCCTGGATTCCAACCATGCGCCTGGTGCGTATCTATGAAATCTGGCAATCGGAATTAAACAGACTTGAAAAACCATGAGCAGACGGAGCTGAGGTGCTTTTAACATGAGCGTTAGCTGGAAAAAAAGCAAAACCTCCCCAAACCTCACTATAGTTACCGAATTTTGCAAATGTTGTGTCCAATAACTCAAACGCTATTTCAGCACTAGTGCTTATTCTAGAGTTGGCGAGGAAAACTTCTATTATTTAAGCCACGACATTTA